ATTTTTAATTTAAATCAAGTTGTATAAAGGTAGGAAGAAGAACAATCTTTGTATATTTTATGAAATAGGAGGCGCCACTGTAGGAAGAAAGTACAACACGCCTCTGTGTATTCCAATTTACATGCATTTAGACACATAGGCACTTGACGCTTATTTTGCCAATTAATTTACGGAGAAGTTAACAATGTTATCGAAATAATATTAAGTATGGCTGTTCAGTGTTTCCCCTGAAGTTTCGTAGAGGGTACCAGATCACCTATGCGGTGGACTAGTCAAGTCAAATCGGCACCAATAAACCCAGTGTCAGACTGCGCTAGACAATCCACAAACAGGGAGAGATGGCGGGAGTTCGTGATCCAACACAAATATGGCCGTCTCAACGTGACCACGACCGCTCTGCTAAGAGCGAAACGACAGAGAGATAGTAAGTTAACTAAGTTACAAAAGTAGGTAATGAACAGAGCGTTATACTCTTGATACAGTTCCGCCCTCTATTAACACAGTTTGATGGACACTTTTCCAGCTTTAATTTTTCCATTAGAGGTTACTTCTTAATAACCTGTATACAGCTTAATTTTAACAAAAAAAACCGGCAAAATGTCAAACTGACACTACGCCATCTTGTTTTCAACGAAAATCTACATAATTTTAATATAACGGTCCATATAAAAGTGCATTAGAATAATTTCGTGGAAATATATTATTATCTATCTACAATATATATAAGTTATATTCCTAAGTAATTTCCCAAGTCGACTAAGTACTAAGTTGGCCCCGTTTGTGATATTACTACGTGACTTAGCTTGACTAAGTATTAAGTCTAACTAAATCTAACTTTGTACGTGAATGTGTGTGTTTGCACGCTATATTAGTTGGTGTTAGCAGGCTTACTTCTGACTACATTCTTCTTCTTCTATATTAGTGACTTCTTCTGACTATATTGGTGAAGAATTTTAAGATTTAAGAAAAAATATGAACATGTCTTGTATTATTTGTGTGTTTTAATGGCTGACCATTGACCTGATGTCTGATTTTAATGACTGAATTTGTGCTTAGAAGAGCAATGATGATTGATTTTCAGAAAATTGTATCATTTGAACTAGAGTTTAGCGTAGATGTTGCTTTAGAAGTGTCTTGTCTTGATGACGACAAATATCGCTTAATGGTGTCCGAAGTAAGCCTGCTAACAATAAGAAAAATGTCTTAGAAATCTTCTTGAAGATTATGTATAAACTAACAATAAAAATAAACTTAATACGACATTGTAATTCGTCGATAACTAAGACGTAATAATTATTCATTAGGTATAAAGTACAATTACATTAGGTAAATTCATTTCGAGTAAAATTGGACTAAAGTCTAACACTGAACTATGCAGTGTGTAAATGGAACGGTCTCGAAAATCGCCAACAGGTGATGGTAAAAACTAGTTCTATTCTCATAAAAGTAAGGAATAAAATGGTTTCTTTTATAAAATAACAGTTGTAATCAACGGCTCAAGACTGATGTTCCATGATTACACGAAAACAAAATAAAATAATTGTAGAAACTATTTTTTGTCAGCGTTCTCAGGAGCGTTTCGTTTACACCCTGTATCTATGTACTGTAGATATAGTAGGTACATACAAACACCTCAGCCCTTATACCATTAAAGTTAGCAGAAACACATAACTACATAGTTTATATTTAACTATAGCGTTCAGAAAAATTAATGTTGAGGCGTACCCCAGGGTAACATCTTGGGTCCAACCTTACTCAAAACGACCACATACTTAAAATATCTTCATTTTAAAAAGAATTAATGTATTTAAAAATTATCCTAGTTACAATTAGAAACTACAGTATGATTTTAAATAGCTCTAAAAATAGCTAGACGTCTTAAACTAAGGCACTTCTTACAATATTCGTGTGTGCGTCGTTCGTACAAAATATTTGATATAAAATATACTATTATTATGTGTTTTTATCTTAATTATATACGTCTAATGTCTATATTATGTCATTGTGCCGACTACAACTGTATTTGACTGGTCAACTACTTGAAATCCATAGTTTTATTTTAAGTGAGAAAGGTTCTTTGTCTATATTCTTTAAATATGAAATTGCGTGGCTAATTATGGTGAAAAACGGGTAGGAGGTAGATGAGAAAATGAGAGACAATAGGAGGCTTATTTTCAGTAATTTGCAACATGTTTTTGAATGTAAATTTTATTATACAACGTTGAGTTGAAAGCTTGATTAAAAAGAAATTGACCATGTTAATGTTTGTATTACCTCTAGAACAATATAATAATGGTTCTCTTTTACAATGTCTAATTAAGTTTCTGTAGTTTGTACCTCTATTATAACTTTCGTGAGACATACTAAATAAATTATTATGTTTTCGGCTTAATCACGTAATTATTTGACGAGGAACTCGTGACTCGAGTAGCCAGTAGCAGCGCGACAGTCGCCGCGTCGCAGGTCGCGAAATGCTGCTCATGAATATGAGCCTCTAGCATGGCTTGTAACTAGTCGAGTTCCTCGTCAAATAATTACGTGAGTAAGCCGAAAATATAATAATTTAAGTTTCTGTTGGTTTAACTGACGGATAATTTGACGTATTTTACTTACAAAAGAGTCAATATGCGTAGCAATTAGAATAACAGACAGTAATCAAGTAATTAGACATTGTGAATTTGATTGTTGTCCGGGTCTAGATGTCATGTGTATGTGAACTTGTATGTTTGTAAACGCACCCACGATACAGGAGACAATCCTAGTGTGGGCCGTTTTATAAAACGAAATTTATATATATGTACACGCTGACATTTTAATGGTTGTTTTCCCGCAGCAGAACGATTTCCCTTTAGTAGTACTATCGAATAATGCAAGTTACTTTTTGAAAAAAATATTTTTTTTTCTCCTCATCTACTCAAAAAAATAATCATCAACTCGAAAGCATGAGAAACGATAGTTTCTCTTCTAAAATGTGACGTCAAATCAATGTTCATAGTAAAATAATCTCTCGTACTAAGTAATACAGCATAAACTGCAATGCACGCGCGCGCGAGCGGATCACCTCACGACAAACAACAAAGGCAACCACCGCGCTCTCTGTCACTCGCACCGGCTCGCACCGGCTCGCATCGCCTCGCACGGCTTTCATTCGCACCAGTCGCACCGCGAACGCCGTCTGCGCAACCACGCAAGCGCAATACAATATTGTTGCCGCCAAAATTGATCGCCATTACGTTTCTTCTAATGTGGAGTACCTACGTGGGCCGGTATAATAAACGGCTGCTTAATTGGTCCGCATTTTGTGACAGGACACTTAACCGGTGAAACGTACCTACAAATGCTACGTAGTGTTATCCCGGACTTACTAGATGACATTCCGTTAGCAGTGCCCATAGATGGCCTGTATGTATTACCAGCACGATGGTTGCCCTGCGCATTATCAGCGCGCCGTGCGAGAGCACCTCGACTCGGCCACCACGAAGCCCGGATCTTACTCCACTAGACTTTTATTTGTGGTCTAATCTCAAACGCCTTGTGTATCGGCAAGAGTACGAAACTCGCGACGCGTTAAAAAGTGCGATAGTGGACGCTTTTGATGTGATTAGACGTGACAGAGACACATTATTAAAATTGAAAGCCAATCAGTTAAAACGTGCACGATTGTGTGTGGAACGCGGTGGCTTACACTTTGAACAATTGCTCCGTTACCGGGAAGTGTAAGTACTTTTACATTTGTAAATAAAACAATAAGTTATGTGATTAAAATCATTGTAAATACGTTGATTCCCATTTTTAAATACGCCTTAAATACTTTCCCAAATTCAGTAATAAACAAGATAATATCTCTTGATTAAATTTTGTTTATGTTTGTGTTTAGTAAGTGTAGTTAAAAAGTATTTACGACGGTCCTAAGCCCGTTAAAGTATGAAGGGAAAATGGAAATCACGTGTTAGTAAATACTGAGTTATCAGCCTTTTGATAAGCGCGAGCGACAATGACAGCGGCCGGTGGCCGTTCGCGGCGGTACTATTGGTTCGCGGTTTCTTTCAAGTTTCGTGTATCACTATCGTAAAACTGCTATTTTTTTATTTAAATTAAAAATAACTTTCTCAATCTATTGTACTACTAAAATAGAATCATTTTACTGTGGGAAAACAACCATTAAAATTTCACGGTGTATATATATTGCGGTGATTTTTCGCATTTATTTCAACCTTATCAAGTCAGTCGACTGTCAAATACAGCCAAGTCAAATACCTACTTTAATTCGATTACTTACTCGTATTTATTTATAACTTATAATTCTACTAATTTATAACTTTATTACGTAACTTTATATATAATTTATCCCAGTTTTTTTGTATGATATTTTAATTTTATAATCTAAATTTAAACTCTAACTTATTCGGCACTTTCACGGCTTTCGCTGTTCGTATCGATATTTTTAATACCAATAGTTTTGCACTTATATATTGTTAGCTATTTTTCTTCGATATCACTGCCCATATTTATTTATATAACTTTATAATTATGATGTTACTTAAATACACTAATTTTTCGCACTATATTAAGCTTAAGTATAAAAAAATGTATTTCTTTGTCCGTATTTATGCGTTATCGTTTATATTCGATGAACCTATGTTTGGTTTTATTAAAATTATAAGTTTATATAATAATTTAGATTGTAAATTAAAAATAATAATTTTTAATGGCTTAAAGGTGCTTCCTCACCGAGAGCATTCGCGTGGAATGTAACGTTACAGATCTGAGTATTACATAGTGAAGGAGAAGAACCGAGCATTACAATGCGCACCTTGTAATGATACAATGTGTAATATCTTGATACAACTTGTAACATCAATGCGCCCCACTTCCCCCCGCCCGCCCGCTTCGTCTGACATCTCGCTATGGAATGCTCAGAGTCGAATCAATATGTTAGATTACACGCAAATGCTCGTTAGTCAGGGAGGTATTATTGTAATGTGATGCTCAAAGTCGAATCTATAATGTTATATTACACGTGAATGCTCCCGGTGAGGGAACACATTTACAACTTCAAAATTAAAAATATTCCTAAATTGTTGACCGACTTTTATCGATCAAGTTAAAAACGTATTTTCCGATTCATTATTTCACTAATACGTCCTTTTTCTAAATCCTGAAACCACCACACGCTTGGTAAAGGCTTCATTAATACTTCTTTCTCTTTCTGGCACGGTCTTTTCAACCACCATGTCTCTACATGTGGGTATTTAGTGTGATCTCTCCAGTCCCGTGTTCATAGAGGGCGCGCACGTCGTCGTGTGTCATCTGGGAGACTGTGGGTATCTTGGACACGTTGTTCAGGAGAGGTTTTACCTGAAAGAAGTAAAAGGGGGTTTAGATTTAGGATCTTATAGAAAGTAATTGAATCCAGGACTTCATGGCGTACGGTTACATTTATAGATAGAAAAATTAAACAACAAACATTGTACATGTGAGAATTTATACGAAAAATATGGTAGCAGTTCTGCAGTTGTAGACAAATGTCATTTAGCGCTTGTCTACATGTAGAATAGAAAACCAAATTTGATATGGAATTGACGTAAATTTTGACACTTGTTAGTGTCAACCCCATACATTTTGATTTCTACTCTCTCTGTAGACAAGCGCTAAAGTGGCGTTTGGCTAAAGGCCCTGACTCACATGGGAGTAGATTACCTAAAAACTGATTTAGCCAATCAGTCTTAAGATTATTATTGAGTTATCTCTTCCTCTTTTTTCTCTTGTTTACATTCTTCTCTTTTTTCTCTCTTTAAAAAATGTTGCCCCACACTAGGATTGTCTCCTGTGTCGTGGGTGCGTTTACAAACATACAAGTTCACATACACTTGACATCCAGACCCGGGACAACAATCTGTGGATCATATAAAGAGTTGCTCCGTGCGGGAATCGAACACGCCCAGCTACCGTGTAGTGATTCTATTCAAAAGGGAATTTTAATTAAAACATCTTACCTTATTCCCGGACATGGCAATGAACCCGTTCCCGACCCCCCCATTATGCGCGTTCCCGTTGGGTACGGACCCGTTGGCGTGTCCGTTGGCGAGTCCCCCCCCCATGCGAGACACTGCCGTCGCAAACTGCTGCATGCTTGGTGGATCTAGAAGGAAGGGTTCAATTATCCAATTTTAAAATCACTGCATAGTACAAAGTTGTTATTTTTGTCTGTCCTTATGTATGCTTAGATCTTTAAAACTACGCAATGGACTTTGATGCAGTTTTCTCTATAGATATATTGCCTTAAGGGGATAACTTACATGTCTGATACATGCATGATATAGTATTTTATGGATAGAACAAAGAGTACATACCTACCGAAAAAAATCAGGCTAATAATTCAAATTTTATAACCAATAGGAATCCAGAACAAAATGCTTATTAGTTTTTCACTGGTATAAAAGTCTGGATCAAAATTAGGCACCCTATATAGGTTAAACAAACCCGATTTTATGGTACTTAGTTGTTTCTTTTAGTTTTTTTTACAGAGCAACTATACGCAAACAATTCTATTGTGTATTTGGACGGGCTAGTCTCTAAGAAACACATTCCAGATCAATTTGAATGTTGCTTCTATTAGACTTAAAAATAAATCACGTATGTATGTGGTACCGCTGTGAAATTAATAATGTTTATAAAGCACTTTGTGCGAGTGAGCAGGGATTTTATTAGATTATGCAAGGATTAAGGACTCGACCCATTTACCACAAGCAGTTCCGGGGTACGTAGGCGACTTAAACCTTAAATATTTTGAATGAATAGCATTGTTG